TCTAAGCCTAATTACCTCCCAAAGGCCCCACCTCCTAATGTCATCATATTGGGGGTTAGGGCTTCAACATATGAATTTTGGGGAGACGTAAATATTCAGTCCATAACAAACAGCATTTTCAAAACTGACTCAGCATTTACATCTGTGAATCCCTTTTCTAACAGTCATTAATAATCTTGTGAGCCAGGAAAATTATCCCATAATTGCCCTACATCACATACATCTCCTTAAAGTATATTCAGACACATCTTAAATTCATTTTTTGCTTTGTCATCCTTTATAACAGAATAGCATTTTATGTTGACTGGATAATATGCCAAATGTATCCTCTTTCCTCAGTATATACTGAGGTATATCATATACTGAGGTGTAGTAGTGTTCTCTGAAAATATAGAATATTAATTTTCATCTTGCTTTTGTATTTTGTTGAAGTGTTAAGAAAGGGGAAATTTTAATAATAATAAAACATAGGATTTTTGATTCAACAGCAGTGAACCTTTTTGATATTCAATTCAACAAATATTTATGGATCACTTCTTTAGTTAAATTTTCTTCTGGTATATAATCAATTACCCTTTTGAGTCTTTTACCTAAAGCAAAGCAAAACAAAAGTCTCCCCCTGGCCGACATTACCATTTAGATACAATACTGTATATCCTATTACATTGTATCAGTTAGCTTTTGCTGCATAACGAACAATGCCAAAACTTAGTAGTTAAAACAACCACCATTTATTTAGCTTGTGATCCTTGTGGATTGGCAATTTGGGCTGGATGCAGCTGGCCACTGGCCAGATTGGTTGGTGGCTGAGTAGTCTGTCTAGTGTGGCCTCAGCTGGGCTGGCTTGCTTTGTTCCACATGATCTCTCATCTTCCGGCAAGCTGGCCTGGGCTTGTTCACATGGCTTCTAGGCAGCGTTCAGTGACATTTTTTGACAACTCCCTTTTTGGCATTCTCTCTTCCATTGTTTACAGTGACACCTTTCTCTCCTGGTTTCCCTTCTATCTTTTTAAAGATGTATCCATTCATCCAGCCGTCCATTTATCTGCCTGTTCGTCTGTCCCTCATCAAATGCCTACCAGTTTCGAGGCTTTGCGCCAGGCAACAGGGATACAAAGACAGATAAGCTGTGTTCCCTGATCTCAAGGAAATCAGAGACCAGTTACAGAGGAACCTGACAGGGTGTGGCAGGTGCTATGAGAGACAGAAATACACAGGGAGCTGCAGTCCACAGAGGAGGTGTCTTTCAGTGAGATGTGATCTGTTTCCTCTTCTTCCTTGTGCTCCTAAATGTTATATTGTCTGGAGTTGCAGCCTTGAACTTTCTTCTCACTCTGTTCACTTGCCTCAAGTATTAGCATCTACACCTATGAATTAGTTCCTGTCCATATGCATATGACTCCCAGTCCGTGTACTCTAGTTCATCTCTCTCTCCTGAGCACTAGATCTGTATCATCAACTGAATGCTGAACAACCATAAGAGCACCTCAGCTCAACACGCACAGGCTGAACTCATAATCCTCCCCTGGGAATCTGCTCCTGTGTTTTCTGTTGCAATTGGTGACAACACCATTCACATGGTACCCCAATCTGGAAACCTGAGAATCACATTATGATTATAGCTGCTTGTTATCGAACTCTTACTATTTGCCAGTCACTATGCCAAATGGTTGCCATAGATTTTTGCATTTAAACTTAGTAAAAACCATATGTTATAGGCATTACTGTCCCCATTCCATGAATGCAGAAACAGAATATCAATGATTAAGTACTTGCCTAAGGTCCCACAGTTTAGTGGGCAGAGATGATATTCAAGCCCAATTCCCTTTGGATCCAAAAGCTGTGCTTAACATAAGTCACGTGAGAAGCCACATATACAGGGCCCTCAGGGATGTTGTACTTACTGGAGAAATGATGTATCAACATTTTCAAATAGGAAAGGTTCAACAAGAATCTGGATTTCAGATATTTCTTGAAAATTGAGAAGATCTGGTCTCTGGCTCCACATTCCAAATGGCAGCAGTTGGCTGCAGATGGGTGACTGCCACCTCCTTTGGGAGGGGCATGCAATCTCCAGTTTGCCACAGTCTCTGCCACTCCCTACTGTCTTACAACTAGCCACTTCCCTCATCAAAATTATCTGCCTGACTCTTGGGGGCATCTGACTTTGTGACTTCTGTTAACGTTGTATCCCTATGCTCTCTCCTCTCTTTCATTCTTCCACCATCCAATTGATTCCTGAGCTGACAGTGTTACTTGTAAAATCATTGTCCAATCTGTCTCACATTCTTTATCCCTTTTGCTACAAATTGGTCCTTGTAACTTCTCACTTCAATTACTCCAGTAAATACCTGGTTTCCTCCTTCTGGTCTCAGCCTCCTCTAATTCACTCTCCACATTGCTTGCAGCTAGAAATATTGGAAAAATGCGAATAGATGATATCTAGCAGCCTCAGAATGAAATGCAAACTCCTTCGTGTGGCATAGAAGACCATTCATGATCTGGCCTCTGATGAGTGCCCTCACTAATGTTCACTTTCCACACTCCTCTTGGCCTTATTGAAATATTGGCTCTTCCTAAAATCATGACCCTTTGCATCTCCTTGCATTTTTACCCATCTTCTTTTCTACTTGGAATAGTCTATGTGGATTATATTAATATTGGTAACTGAGTATATCAACATGAATCTAGAGTGATGACCTTTCTAAAATCTGTTTTTTCCTATATTTTGACTTGATTGATAAGCCTCCTATTTATTCTTTCACCAAGATACAAACAAAATAGAAACATAAGTCCTGGTTATGTTTAGACATTGTAACATCTTGATTGGTTTATCATTTGCTTCTTTTTTGGGCAGTAGAGCAGAGTGGTAAGAGCTTGGGTTTTCTATCCCAGCTCTGCCACTACTAGCTATGTAGAGTTGAACAGGCTACTTCACATTTTTATGTCACCATTTTCTCATCCGTGAAGTAGGGCTACTAATAGTTCTTATATCATTCAATTACAGCGGGGTTAAATAAAATAATGCATGGAAAGGCTTAGAACCACCTGGTGCTTATCAGCCCCCAGTGGATGTCAGCTATTGCTGTTATTATTACCATTTTTATTTCATTCATTCATTCATTCCACATTGGACCAGGAGCTGTTCTGGGAATTTTGATGTATATCTTTTTACAACCCACAACACCTGTGTGAAGAAAATACCTTCAGCCTATTTTCGGGGTGAGGCTGTAGAAGATTAGAGTGGCCGGGACTTGCCTTGGTGGCTCAGTGTGTCATATGGTGACAGGTGTTTAAGTATTTCCTTTTCAATCACAGTAAAATGGGATTCATCTCATGAAGGATAGACTCATATTCCACTCTAGGCTGTGAAGGGACTCTTTAGAGAATTCAAGTATTATTAAAACCGATTATGTGGCCCATTTTTAGTATGATTTCTAAAATTTAAAAACTACCAGGAACTTTATAAAATGTTGAATCACATTGGATTTTGGGGGAAATTTTCTACTTCTGTACAGAAAAATACCATGTTGATGATGCCAATTTATGAGTGATGCTTCAGATAATTAAGTCTGGGAGCTATTTTTGTTTATTTTATATATTCAGTATGTCCTTAACAATAACAACAAAAATGGCCAATGTTGCTAGGAGCTGTGTGTGAAGATGGGTAAATATAAACTTAAATGTAGATGAGAGAAGTGAAATAGAATATTAGAATTGAAACTGTATATGAGTGAAATTATTTAACTTTTGTTTCTAAAATTTGAATGATCTTCATTTAATTTTCAAATTGCTCCTAAAATATTAAAAGAAGAATAGATTTTACCCAAAGCATTGTTAAATACCTACATGGACACACAGACCTACAGACTCATACATATATGTATGTATAATTTTTTAAATTGAGAAATACTGAAATACACAATAAAATAAAAATAACCTACACAATAAACACATTTAAAATTAAAAAAAAATTTTAAACTTTATTGGGATATAATTTATAATCACCATTTCACTCATTTTAAGAGTACAATTCAGTGCTTTTTAGTAAATATAGAGAGTTGCGCAACCATCACTGCAATTTAATATTAAAACATTTACATCAACACCAAACGACTCCTCGTGGCCATTTGAAATCAATCTCTCTTCCCATCCCAGCCCCAGGTAACCACTAATCTACTTTTTCTATATCTATAGATTTACTTTTTATGAACATTTATTATAAATGAAATTACACAATCTGCGTTGTTTTGTATCTGGCTTCTTTCCCCTAGCATAATTTTTTGAGGTTCGTCCGTGTTGTAACATGTGTCGGAACTTAGTTCCTTTTCATTGCTGAATAGTGTTCCATGGTATGGATACACCACAGTTTGTTTACCCATCACAATAACCAACTTTAAAAACAGTATGTATTTAAGAAACTGCCAACAGTGGCTGCTTCTAAAGAAGGGAATTGGGGGAACAAAGGGATAAGAGTAGGAGACAGATTTTTTTCATTTCATTACTATTTTATATGGTTTTAATTTTTTAATTCAGGAGCATATCTTTATTAGAGCAAAGTAAGGAATGTCTTCTCCCCAGAAATGTATATAAAACAAGGGGTGACAGCCCTCCACTGACCCCAGTCTCACTTTCCTGAAGGTAATCACCATTAGTTTTTCATATCTTTTTAGACTATACATACACACATACACATGTGCATATATAAATAAATTCATGTCCATGTCTGTCTGTGCATCTAAACAGTCATATATTTTATATTGCAACAAAAATGGAATCAATCACAGGGCTTAATATTTTAACCCACGGTTAACCAAAGCTAAGAAGACCTGTCTTACCAACCTTGCTGGGTTGTACATTCTGGAAACTATTAATGAATTAATTGGTTAATCAATTCACAATGGAGAAAAGTTGAGAACTGCAGACTCGGTTTATTAATGATGTGTCGACACGGTTTAATTTTTTTTTTTACCTCCGTCTCCCTCTGCGTTTTCTTGCAGGATACTTCGGACCTGCCTGCGAAGAGAAGGTGGACCCGTGCGCCTCGTCCCCGTGCCAGAACAACGGCACCTGCTACGCGGACGGCGTGCGCTTCAGCTGCAGCTGTGGCGCGGGCTTCACGGGCCCCGCCTGCGCCCAGCTGGTCGACTTCTGCGCCCTGAGCCCCTGCGCGCACGGCACCTGCCGCAGCGTGGGCACCAGCTACAAATGCCTCTGTGACCCAGGTACGTACAGCCACAGACCGCAAATCCTTTCATTCCCCGACCTCAAAGACTTAGCTTTTCTTTTGCATCGGAGCAAATGCTGGCAGCTGGATGTGTTTACTTGTAAATATACATGAACTCCACTCATTAATGACACGCTTTCTCTTTAGACTTACCCTTGGCAGGGTTTTAAAAATGACTTCCCCTTTTCATGAGCGGTTCACATTCATTGTAGAAAAATAAGAATTACAAGTAAGCAAAATGAAGAGAGTGAAAAACAGGCTTAATCGTATAACAGGTTATTTTTTTAACAATTTACTATAGATCATTCCAGAGATTTTACTGTAGTGTATATCTTTTAATACTGTGTTCTTAGGTTAACGGAATACGTTTTTCTATTTTAATGTTCGTAAAAAGCAGAATGCAATCCATTCAGAATTTTATTGTCTATTAAAATCCTTACTCTGTGCACAGTATGTGTTATAAGACCTGTGACTCCTTGTGTAAACGTTCAAAAATTCTGTAATTTATTTTCCAAATGTCTTCTGCATTTTACTGATTTTTTGTTGTGTAAGTTTTGATACTCAGAAGTCAGATGGTTATGAGTCAAAATCTGTGTCCACACAACCTACTGGTATGGTCTAAAAAGGAGGCAGGCCGGCAGCTCGCTCTTTCCTCTCGTTCGTATTCTGCCCACGTCTCCGTCCTTGCACGAGCCCACTCTTTAAAATATTTGCCAGGGGCCGGCCCCGTGGCTTAGCGGTTAAGTGCGCGCGCTCCGCTGCCGGCGGCCTGGGTTCGGATCCCGGGCGCGCACGGACACACTGCTTCTCCGGCCATGCTGAGGCCGCGTCCCACATACAGCAACTAGAAGGATGTGCAGCTGTGACATACAACTATCTACTGGGGCTTAGGGGAGAAAAAGGGAAAAAGCAGAAGAAAAAAAAAGAATGCTTCCCAGCACAGCGATTCCCCACACATGCCCCTGGCCCGTCAGCGTGGCTGCCAGTTCCCTGGTTTTGCCTCACTCCTGCTCCACCTGGATACCCGCTCCTCTGTCACCCCATCTCTCCTGGGAAAATTCTCCTTCTGCGGCTGAATCGGCTTTCCTTCCTCTGAGTTCCAACGATCATCCACTTGCCTGGTTTTTAGAACATTATATTAATTATCATTGTATGTGTCTCTCTCTCCCTTGGGGGTAGGAGGAAGTGTAGTGTTATGAGCAACTTTTGTCTACCAATAATAGCCCAAGCCACCATTTGCTGGGCATTAATCTTTCTAGGTTTTGAGCTGGGGTGCTTCACGTCTCTGGTCCTTTTAGTGCCCTCCTTACGAGGAAAATATTGTTGGACCACATTTGCACCGAGGTATGAAAAGCCTCATTCCTGGTTCAGTCATGTGCCTGCAGCCACACACCCAGTAGCAGGCTGATCCCAGATCCCAACCTGGTGCCCGGATTCCACTGCCCCAGAACTTTCAAGGGGCACTTCTTGTACTCATGAATCAATTAAAGGAATTAGTGGGAAATGCAACTAAACATTGAAGGATGTTAAAAAGCCTTTTCTATCTAGACTCTTAATTCTGTTTTTCTAAGCAATCATGGGATTGATATTTTATATATATATGTGGAAAGAGCGAGAGAGGGCGAGATTGATTTTAAGGAATTGGCTCATGCAGTTGTGAGAACTGGCAAATTCGAAATGCATAGTGCTGCAAGATGGCAGGCTGGAAATTCATGCAGAATTTCTCTGTTATGGTTTTGAGCCTGAATTCCTTCTTCTTTAGGAAACCTCAGGTTTTGCTCTTAAGGCCTTCAATTGATTGGATGAGGCCCACCCACATAATGGAGGGCAATCACTTTACTCAAAGTCTACTGATTTAAATGCTAATCTCATCTAAAAAATACCTTCACAGCAACATCTAGACTAGTGTTTGAATACTTGAGTGCTGTGGCTTAGCCAAGTTGGTGCATGAAATCAACTACCACAGTAACATTTTGGGGTATCTCATCAACCTCGAGGTGAAGAAGTTTCTCCACCTCTACGTATGACACAAGGATACTTCTCTGGGTTGGCAGCCATTCTCTCCTGTCAGAGCCATGGTGGATATGGAACTAGCTTCTGCTGTTGAGGTTTTCTTCCATGTGCATTGTAGGACATGTGCTGTGGCGCTGGGCATGCCGGGGAAGGAGGCAATGCCGTGTGGTGCCCTTGCCTGCGGGGCACTAAGACTGCTTTGTGTTTGCAAACTGAACAAGCTGCAGTTGTGCTGACGAGAAGAAAGTCTTCCTCATGTCATGACCCACGAGCACGCTGCTCCCAACATTCCGCTCTGGGTGTCATGACACGTGGGCTAATTCCCCTCAGCAGTGATCTGAAACAAAATCTTTCTGTCAGGAACTTCCTCAATACCTTTCTCCTTAGAGTTCTGCTTTCCCCAGTGGAGCCCCACGAAGAGGAGTCAATATTACAAGACAGCTTTGTTTTCTCCTCCGCTTCTCCTCTGACTTTGTTCTTAAATATTAAATTTTCCTTATATTTAATTGGTTTATTTTTAAAACTTTAAATGGAATGTAGTTATTTAAAGATAAATGTTGCTTTTTAATAATATTGAGTAGAGTTTTTCAACATGTGTGAGGAGGCTTACATGGTCCTAAATAGAAAATATACTGCCTGGTGTTTCTCTTTCCACACTGGGAGAAGTCACTGAGGGCGGTAGAAAGAGCCTATTTCTGAGATCCTCATTTATTGACTCTTACTGACCAAATCCATAGGAAATTTACAGGATATTTCTGGGCCTCGGTCCTTATTTTCATGAATAATGTCTTAGGTGCACGTCTGTTCAACTGCTTTGGGTCACGGACTGGCCCGGGGACAAGTTGCTGACCACGTTCTTCTATTGTGTGTGAGAGCGTCAAGTGAGAGGCATGTAGCTCGTTTCCTGGTGTGGAGTAGGAAGAGCTGTTCCCGTTTCTTTCCATCCTTGGAGAATCCAACATTTCTCCCCAAGCCACAGAGGGGTGAAGTATCTCCTGTTGAAGTTCCACTCTTCCCTCCAGCTGTTCTCCGCTCAAACTTCATTTGTGTCCATTTGGAGCATTTGGCGTGGTAATAGTCAATGTCCAGCCTCCAAGTAGCCTTGAAAAGCCTGAAGAAACGTGTACTCCGCTCCATGATCCTTTCAATTATTAGGCAGTCTCCCGGGGTGGAGCCTTGGAGTTCTGTCAGAGCTCTCTCCTCGAACTTGGGAGATAAAATTGCTTTGAGAGGGTTGGCTTCCTCAGATCATTAGGTGACATTGTGTGAAATAAAAAAGGCATCTTAACATCTGGCAAGAATTTACATTTTAAGAGGTGAAAATGACAGTTCTCTGAATGCAAAATTTCTAGTCTTCATCTTTTGGAGCATGTAATTGCTTCGCCACTAGTCTGCATAATAGAAGAATCTCATGAGAATGGGTGGAATTGGGTGTCTAGCTGAAGAGCGGCAAGCCTGATCGTCTTCAGAGAGAGCAAACGGATCCCACTTCACAGAAGGGCAGCAGATTGAAGTCATGGCAGGTTGGTAATTAGTTCCCATCTGACAAAACGCCTTTTGGATGACTGCAAATCAGATTCGCCAGGTGCTTTATTTTCAAATCTCGTTTTTAGCTTATCCGGCTGAGGATTGCTGATGGGATTTTAATATTAAATAATAAAATGTCAGCGCCAAGTAATCTCTGACATGTTATCTCTCAGTGACAGTGTTAAGTGATAGGCCACACGTACTCTAAGAAAATTGAAAATTGAAATCTCTCGAAGACCAGAGGAAGTGAGCACTTGGAGCCCTACACACATTGTGGGAAGCAGTACCACAGTGCGTGGAATCAGTGGGTGCACTCCATTGTCCTTACAGGTGGGGGCCATGGTATTTCATGAGTTCTCAATACAATGGTGGCATCTAGAGATGCCATTTGGATGATGACCAATGCTGAAAGGAATCCTTGGTAAGAAGGGAATAGGTTTTGCCTGAGTTCACTGGACTTGGCCCATGCCTAATACACTTGAGTTATTACTCTGACCTTGTTTGTTGAATTGAATTAACTCTCCCGTTACAGAATGTACCTCAAATGACTATTTAAGGAATTTAAAGTCTAGGGCATTAGAGGATTTTTACATGGAAATACATATATCAGTTTTTATTTTCATGCATAACCTTAGATGCTCATCAATTGTCACAGGCTAGACCTGGAACAAGTTGCCGACCATGTGTTTCCTCTGATTCTTCTCCCCCATAGAGCTGGTAACTCAATTAGATCATCCAGACTATAAAAGAAAGGAAGTTTAGCTTTCTCCATGAAAAGTTTTTATAAAGGAAATTATATTTATGGGAATTTCTGATACTGTTTTTTCTAGTTTTTACATATGCCTTACATGTGAGCTGCATTTCTGGTCTCTATGGCCTGAAAGACACAGCTGGCATTGCTTCCTTCTGTTAGACTCAGACTTGGCAATATCAGCACTCTGATAGTGTCTGCTGGAAACAAAATCTAAGATAAGACTTAATGGTCAGGATGTTAATAGCAATTCAACAACAATAAAGAAAAAAGTACACCTACAAAGATATGAAGACATTTAGCTCACTAATAAATGCCCCATTGTATTTAGATTCTTGGATAAGTACAATGGACAACTTTTATCTTTAATTAACCAGAAAACTTTATCAGGTTCACCAGGATAAAGACAATTCTTGTGCTTAACTTGCTCCAGAAGGCTCCTGAGCTGCGTATCACATTATTCTTGAGAATTATAGCTTGTGTAGAAGGTATTGTCTCCTTTCCCCACATCCTAATCCTGCTATCATGCCCTTGCATTGTTGTATTCCCAAATATGGTCAGGATCCCAAATAGAATCCTGTCTCCCTAGCTATAGCTGTAGCAACTCTTCGTGATCTGTACTCTACCTAAGAAAAAGTTTACATCTCTACATTGACATCGTGATGACACTAAGAACTGAGAAAGAGAAGAGCAGCCCCTGACATTGG